CTCATCACCGCAGGCTCTGGGGGGCTGCGGGGGACCTTGGCCAAGCGCTTGCCCCAGCGTCCTTGGAGCTGTGCAGAGGCAGCAGTGCGGGCCAGGGGCACAGGAGGGGCTCTGGGGGCGCCCCGGCTCCGCTCCCCAAGACCAGAGCGGGGAGGGAGGCCTCCCTCCACCCCTATCCACAGAAAGGCCTCCGTGGTAATCAGGACAGTGAGGACAGGGCAGTTAGCGCGGCTGAGGTCCCGAGGCAGAGGCCGACTCTGGGACAGGACAGGCCCGCATCGCTGCAGAGGCTCCCCAGGGATGCTCCACTCAGCCACTGCCCTCCTGTCATCCTCAGGCGGGACCAGCCTGCCCTGCGCCGCTGCGTCCCCACCCCATGTGGCTCAGCCCTGCCTCCGAGGTCCAGAGCTCCGTGCCCCAGGCCAGGGCTTCCAGTCCTCTCCCTCCTCCCGCTTCCCGCCCTGGCCCAGGTTGGCCGCGCCTGGGCTGAGCCCAGAGCTTCCCTGGGCTGTGGAATTCACCGACCCAACGCTGAAGCCTCTGCTCGCTTCCTGCAGGGATCCGCTCCCATTTTCTGCGGCATCAGTGGTGACTAACAGAGAACTTAGCCAGAACAGGGTGGACGGGTCAAAAGGACAAAGAGAGGCAAAGCTCACACAGGTTTCCCCACGTAAGCCCTAGGTTGCAACCTTCCTGGCGATGTCCGTGCAGTTATTTCCTGGCCCTCCTGGAGAGGAGGAGCTGCATCCAACCCGGGCACTGCTTCTCCCTTTGCAAGGACCAGAGGGACGCACCAGTCATCTCCCAGGACCCTCCCCTCCCTCTGGACCGGTCCACATCACACGCGATGACAGAGGCCAGCATCTTGGAGGGGTCACACTGTCCAGGGCTTGGGGAGGCAGAGGTCTCAGTGGGGAGAGGCCTTCAGAGACCAAGGCAGTGTCCTCCTCGCCTGCCGGCCCCTCCGGGGGCCTCTGACTTCCCCCCAATGTACTGCAGATTACAACCTGGCCTCTCACAGCGCACTCGGGGGCCCTCATGGGCTCCCGGCGCCACCCCAGGTATAGCGGGTTGGTCTCTCTCCTTCCTGGTGCCCTGGAGGGACGCTTCTTGGCCCCCTCTCTGCCCCGGAGTGGAGTGGAGGAAGCCTTGTCCTTCCTCGATGTGGCCGCCCTGCAGGAGCAGGCACCAGCCCCGAGGCCGTCCCCGTCACCCCCAGGTGAAACGAGTCAGACATCCCCGCTCACCCACAACTCACCAGCTGGGAGGCCTGAGCCCAGCGCCCTCCGAGGAGCATGGGGACAACAGCTACTGTCCCCAGGCTGCTCGGGAGGCCAGGAACTGGTGCCTGCAGCTGGGGCTGCTCGGGAAGGGGGCGTCCAGGCCAGGCCAGGCCAGCTGCCCTCCTCCAGCGCTGTGTGGTCTCCAGCGCATGCTGCGCACCTAGAACCCGCAGCCAGGTGCAGGTTTGGTCCGCAGACAGCGGTGGCCTGGGCCAGCCGCAGTCCCTGCCACAGCCCCTTGGACCCAGGGCCCCATAACCTGCCGGAAGCTCGGACAGAGCCCCGAGACCTGCAGGAACCCAGCGCGACACCCCGCCTAGGGGTCAATCACAGGACTGAGATCACTACGCGGAGAGGCAACCTGGATGCAAGCTTCACGCTGCGCCTCTCCACAGACAGCCTACAAGTTAAAGACGAACACCTACCTGGACACGCGGCTCCCAGGCCGTTTGACTTCTCACAGCTCCGGACACCGAGGAGTCCGAGGTCAAGGCGTCAGTGCAGTCAGCGGGGCAGAGGGCGGCTCTCGGCTCCCAAGGTGGCGCCTCGACTCAGCCTCACTCGGTGTGCGCGTGGGCCCTCGGGGCCTCATCACCTTTAAAAGGCTTCACCTCCACCGTGCCGCTGGCCCTCATGTGCCACACCTGCTGCATGGGGGCGCGCCTGGTGGGAGGTGAGGCCGCCGCCGCAGCAGGGGTTTGTTTCCGTTTTTCCTGGCAGCAGAGGGGCTCAAACTCAGGGCCTGGAGCATGCTAGGCCCGTGCTCCACCCCGGAGCGACCCCCGCAGCCTCGTTTTAATACACAAAAAACAAAATCTCCTTCAAGATAAAAATGTCAAAGGAACAGGAATGGAACAGTGGCGCCTGATCACAGTGACCCTGCATGAAAGGCACCCGGAGGAACAGTGACACGGAGTGGACAAAGGCACAAACAGAGGGCATGAAAAATCCGAGCCACCTTTTAATAGACTATAAAAATAATGAGCGTTGACAGAGCCCTGGGGGTGTTTTCCGCTTAGTGTGCAGCCCCAATTTAAGCACCAGAACACGGGTGGTGGGTCGGTCACGCTGTGTCCCCAGCAGCCAGCAGTAAGTGGCCGGACCACTTAGGGCAGGAGAGAAGCGTGGCTGAGGGGAACTATTTCCACGGATGCAGCCTTTCAGTGAGCAGAGTGTGGTGGTCACTGCTGTCCTGGCCACGCTGTCCTCCCCGCTCCCCTCAGTGCTGGTTCTGTTCAGGCATTCGGCTTCCCCACCGCAGGGACCAGGCGTGGGACCTCGTGTCCCTGGGCCTCCTGCTCCTCACCTGTCACCGCCCAGTGGTGACATGGGCCTAGGGACCCGGCTCTGCGCCCTCACCACCCACCTGGGGTGATGGGGAAGAAACTCCCAGGTAAGTCTCTGCCCCTAGGGAACTGCACTCAATCGGGTCCCCGACTCACCACTGGGTCCCCAGACGAGGGGGGCGGCAGGTTTGCTGGTGGCAGAGATGGGCTCTCAGCACAGGCTGCCAAGCACAGTGCCAGAATGGCCTGGCACTCGGGAGGCGGCACCTCCTCCGGCTTCCGAGGAGGGAGCGGGCGGGCTCAGCGACTCTCAGGGCGGCCGGGCCCGAGTGCAGTTCCTTCGCCTGGGCTGTGGCTTGAATGACAGCTCTCGGGGACTGATTTATCAGCATAGGGCTGGCAATCACTGCTTCTCACAAGAACAGGGTTCTGACGCGCAGTGACTCCCTGGTTCCTTTTTAACTGACAGATAAACACTGTGTACGTTTACCGTGTGTACCGTGTGTGTGCAGGTGCAGACGGTGGAAGGGCTAAATCAAGCTAATGAACATTTGTGCCGCCTTGTATATTTATCTTTTGTGGTGAGAACCCTTGAAGGCGATTTTCGTAGCAATTCCAAATACATTTCTGTAGTAACCATACTCACCACGAAGGAGACGGATCTCCTAAACCTTTTCCCTCCATACTGAAATTCCGGTCCTTTCACCAGCATCTCCCCAGTGTGCCCGCCAACCCCAGCTTCTGGTAACTACTGTTTTGTGAGTGTGAGATCACGCAGCACCTGCCTGTTTTATTTCACCTAACCTAGTGGCCATCAGTTCACCCTGGAAGTAACACGATACCCTTATTTTAAAAGGCTGGGCAGTCTCCCGCTGTATACAGGCACTGTCTTCAGTGCTCACGGCTACCTGGAGCGTGGACCGTAAGTAAGCCGCTCCTCCATCCCTACATGCACACTGACGTCTTCATGCCGTGCCTCCCTGCCTGAGGTCTCTGTGCTACAGAAAGGGTTGCTGCTGGGTTACACCGAGGAGCTCAAGCTCCACTGGACTGCGTGTGGGCTGAGAACTTTCTCACACTCGCCTCGTTGGGGCAGCACTGGAGCCGCAGTTCTGAGTTCAAATCCCTCATCTCCAGAGGTCACCAGGTTAAATTACTCACCACCTCCACTCTCGGCTTTCTCGTCTGTCCACAGGGTCGAGGCCCTCGATGGGCACCACTGCGCACTCAGTGCCCATCCGCTGCCCTTGAAGCGTAAGCACGAGGTGCCCTGTGCCGGGAGGAGCTGCCTGGCAACACGTTCGTGAGTGTGGCTCATTAACTTCCCCTCGCAGCTCTCCTCTGTAAGAAACTGAGGCCTGGGTGGGTACTGACTTGCTCAGGTTGGCAGAGCAGGGTCTGTTTCTAGTAAGTCCCTGTGCTCGTGGGTGGGTTGGCACCGGCCTGGCGCTGCACCCTCCTGTGGGGGCTGCAGAGCCTGAATCTCGCTCCCGCCGCAGGGACGCACAAAGTCCTGGGGACAGAGCCGCCTGCGCCCTTGCTCCTGGGCAGTTCTGCTCGTCACGGGACTCTGAAATGAGCCGCTCGTCTGAGGACAAAGTCAAGGCCCCGGACTTGGAGCTGACAAAACCAGGGGTGGCGAAAGGGCTCTAAGTAGCCTCCGTGACGCGACACTCAGACACCCGGCTGCCGGCCCGCAGGCCTCACAGAGGGACGTTTATTGTCGGGAAGGACAGG